AATTTCTGGGTTACTGAAAGATAACACAAATCTACTTGAGTAACCTTAGCTGGGAGTGTAGTCTGGATATATTGGGTCTTATTTCCCTTAAGCGGTCTTCCTTTCTCTAACGCATTTAGTCTGTTTTGTGAACCTTTGTCTATTTACTCTTGGATCATATGAGTGAGACTAATGTCCCTAGACATTTGATTTACATGATGGTAACATAGGTAATTTTTCAGACATTCAGGCACCTTCACATCGTACTTTGCAGGTTCGAATCTCATGACCGCAACTTGGTTTCTCAAGCTTAATTAACATACCTTTTAGCACTTAGCCTCAAATGGGGGAAGGAAAAGGAGGATTGGGAGGATTCCCATTGTGTCGGCTGCCCAGCCCAGGTTCTCCAGGAAAAGAGACGCCTGGGTGAATAGGGCTGCACCTGAAAACACTTTAGGGAGGGCAGTCCTATTGTCCTTAGAACAAAGAACCAGGGAGCCACCCAATTTACTTTGACTGAATTCTTTGAGGGAAGAACTTTGCCTTTTTGGAATTTTACAGTTTCGGCTTTTAGGAAAATATTCCATTTATCTGTGTATCTCAAGGGCTCATGTATGCAATTAATAATAAACCTAACTGAATACTAAGATGAAAAACAGTTTGCTATGTCTGCTAGGTGGCTAGAGTCTGTTCCTCAGAGCCTGTGGCCTGTACAGTCTGCAACACTTGGGCTCACAGGGCCTTGAACTCCTGACCGGGTCTGGACAGTCTGCAACAGGCAGTCTGACTCATTAACCCAAAGCACCACACCAGGACTCATGATGGATGTGTTCTTATTTTAAAAGCGTCTAGTAGGTCAACCTAAGGAGCTCTGGTAGCGTAGTGGTTACAAATCGGGCTGCGAACCTTAAGGTCAGTGGTTCGAAACTACCAGCCACTCCGCGGGAGGAAGATAAGGCTTTCTACTCCCGTAAAGATTTACACCCTTGGAAACCCTGTACAGGGTCACTATGGGTCGGAACCGACTCAACGGCACTTAACAACAACAAGTAGGTCAACCTAGTCTCTTCCTCTTCTCAGAGTTCCCTTTTGTCATGCCAACCTGCTACCCCCAAGATATCCTTGATTCTGAAGATGGATCACCTCAACAGCTATTTCTCATACCAGTGAGGCCAGGAGAGAAGGCAGAACAGGTCTGGCGCCCTTTCAAAGTCTCCTTCTTAATGAATTGTCAATATTTGACTAGTCTTGGTTTGGTTTGGGCTAGTGATTAACTGTTATTGTCAAGTACTGTTGAATGGGTTTCGGATCAGAATGACCCTGAATAAGGTTTCCTAGGAGCAGCTGGTAGGTTTGAATCACCGACCTTGTGGTTAGCAGTCCAATGTTTACCCAATCACCACACCAGGGGTTCCACCAGGAGTTCCTTGTTGTAGTTGTTGTTAAGTGCCGTGGAGTTAATTCTGACCCATTGTGACCCTGCATAGGGTTTTTGAGGAATAGCTGGTAAGCTTAAACAGCTAACCTTGCAGTTCAAACAGCTGGCTTTGCAGTCTGGTGCATTAACCCACAGCACCACACCAGGTCTCTGATCCTAGAAGGCCTCGATTGCAAGGCTGTCTGTATTTGACCTGAGCTCAAACCAATGTAAAAAACCTTCCCCATGGGACTTTTGCAAAAATAATTATTTTAGCTTTTCCACTGCCTGAGGCAATTGTTTATTGAGGGCAAACTACAGATGAACAAAAAAGTTCAAAGGAAAACTGGGGAATGCATTGTCCATAAACCCTTTGCCTCAGAGTCCATTCTGACTCGTGGCACCTTCATGTGTTACAGAGTAGAATTGCTCCACAGGTTCTCCTGGCTGAAATCTTTACAAAAACAGATTGCCAGGCCTTTATTCCGTGGCACCTCTGCATAGGTCTGAACTACTAACCTTTAGGTTACTATTAGTGTTTTAAAACCCACTGCCATCTAATCAATTCTGAGGGTTTCTGAGGTTGCAGAACGGCTGGAAGATTTGAACTTCTGACCTTGTGGTTAGCACTCCAACATATAACCCAGTAAACCACCAGGTGCAAGTCATTTGCTCCACCTTGGAACCTCGATGTTGACTTGGCCCCATAGCGCCCCTACCAGGCAGAGTACATCCTTAGGATTTCTGAAATGAAATCTTGACAAGAGTAGACAGCCTCATCTCTTTCCCAGGAAGCAGCTGGGGGATTTGAACTGCAGACCTTGTGGTTAGCAGCCCAGTGCCTAAACCACACACCATCCATATGACTTTAGAAAACAAGAGAAATAAGTGCAATATTCACATTTTTGAAAGAAAATCCTCACCAATCTTGAATTCGGAATAGAATTGAAATTTTCCTTCAAAATTCAATAAAAACTTTGCCAAACAAAAATTAAGGGGATTTGCCAATGCGCTGGACTGCAAAGTCTGTTTGACCTGCAAGATTGTCAGTTCAAGCTCACCAGCCGATCCTCAGAAACCCTATACATGGTCTCAGTGAGTCTGAATCGACTCAACAACACTGAACAACAACAGACCTAACGTGGCACTGTAGGATAGGCACGAGACCATAAGCTTGGTTTGAACCTCAAGGTCGGCGGTTCAAACTCACCAGCCAATCGCTCTTTGGAAACCCTATACAGAGTCACTATGAGTCAGAATTGACTCGAAGGCACTTAACAAGAAGAAGACCTGCCTTACACACACATAAAAAAAAAAGTTTAAAAAATTTCTTCAAAGAGAAGGAAATGATAAAATTCATAAAGGTAGAGTGTTAAAAAGGAATACGTGAAAGTGCAATAAAATCTTTTCTTTTTTTCTTAATTGATCTCCTAGGTAAGTATTCACAGTGAAACCGTGAGAGCTGGCACTCAAGAGAACTGGTTTTTCTGTGTCTCACAAGTTTCCCAGTTTTCACAAGGTGAAGTTTACCACTTTTCCATCACTCTCCATAAAGAATCCTATCTCATTTGTTGTCATTTCCCATCCATAGCGACCCTACATACAACAGAATGAAACACCGCCCAGCCCTGCGCCTTCCTCAATTGCTACATTTGAGCCCCTTGCTCCTGCCACTGAGCCAATCCATCTCATTGGGGGTCT